GGTTTAAAGGGTTCCTGTTTGAGTTGAATTGTGTTGAAATAAGTCAATGACCTGGAGAGAGATTCTATATGTAGGGAAATGCCTATATTTAAACAGGGCTTAAAGTTGTCACACCTGTAATTGAACTGTTTCAACACTTTTTATGTATGTGCAGTCAAGCTCATGGGTAATTTATAACCCTTTAAAACAAATACGAAAATTCAAGCAGTTCCTTAAGAAGAGTTTGCTGTATATACACAAACAGATCCAGGATGTCATTTTCATTTGTTAGTCACTTCAGTCTTTTGGTTTCCCTCTCTCTATTTACCTTTTTTACCAGTTATCTTGATGAAAGACCTGTTCAATGCCTGTCCCCAGCAGAGGAAGACAACGAGAGAGCTGATGTGATTGCAAATGTCCATCATGGACACTGGCCCTAAGGGCTGCGAGCTTGACAAATTGGTACCTGCAAAGTTGGAGTGCTGCACCCAACACACCCCAAAGCCCTCCTCCTGCCCTATATTAGCTTGAACCCAGGACTAAGGGGTCTCCAATTAAGTAGGAGATCTTTCTGTCTGCTGGGCACTAATCTAACATAGATGTGATTGTACTAACAAGGTTCCCAGTATTCTTTTAGGATTAGCAGCGTAGCCCTAAAATTTGCCTAAGAAGTTCAGAGACAAAACCTTTAAGTCTCTTTATCTTCTGATTTGTTTGTTGCTGTTACTCATTAGGGAAAAGGTGGTGTGTATTGTTAGGTGAGATGTGGAGGAGAGTTTCTATGCAGAGGACTGTGTCTCTTCGACTAATCAACAGAACTCAAAGGAAATTCAGGACTTACTTTTTAGGCCATGGCTGGCTCAGAAGATGAAAGGCTTTTGACCTCATGGGAACCAACAAAGCTCCTTTGGTGGCTCCACAGAAAACTGAAATGCTTGTCCAGAAGCATTATTGCTTATTTAGGCCCTCTTTAAGGAACCCTGGATAAAAAGGCTCATCAAAAGCGAGGTGGTGTCAATACTGGAATGCAGTGTATTAGAGCAGGGGAGATGTTGGGATTAATAGAGGTGGACAGGTTATATAATTTTGATGAATGTAGCAAATCAGAAGCTGCCTTTCCTTTGGGGCATTACCCCCTCCCCAGACATTCCACCTCTTGCTGCTCCTTGCAGGAGCAGATCTCATTCCCCTACTGCAAAGCTCTCATAGATATGCCCAGGCTCTGGCATCCATCCTTTGCCATTGTCAGGACAGCTGTGGCCCTTGGTCTTTTCTTCTTGCTCACCAAAAGATGCCAGCAAAGAGCTTTAGTTCCTCAGGCTCAGCTGCCAGCGCTGCATTAGGAACCCCTGTGCTGCACACCCAATAACTGATTTGTCTTGAAAGACCTTCTTTTGGCATTTTGGCAGCAGGTCCCAGAGTTCAGAGTGAAGGCATTCTGCTGATCTCGATAATGCTGTCAGATGGAGACAAAAGATTTTTAAGCATTGACCACTAATTTCAGTGGTCAATTTTTTCCAATTAGTAAAAAAAAAAAAAAATCCCACGTGTGGCATTGCAGGAGTGTGTTCTGTAATATTTAAATTGTCATATCCCAAAGGCTGAGTACAATGGAGAAATCAACAATTCAGGAAACAGGGGATGTGGATTTGAGTTGGCCTTGAAGAAATATATTCTGTAAAACCATTTAAGGCCAGTGAAAGAGGCAGGATACTTCTATAGAGATTTTGGGGTCCTAAAATCTCTGTGATTAACTGAAGTTATGGGATGATTGAATGAAAAAGAAGGAGATGCGATGTGAGTGCTCAGATTTCCATGAAGGAATTTGGGCTATGCGTTTGGGAGAGAAGTGGGATTGTTATTAAAGGACAATAATTTCCTACCACAGGAAACTCTCCATCAGGGTAGCAGCTCAGTATTCCTCTCATCACTGATAAATTCTTCAAAAGGATTTTAAATAATCACCTTGGTTGAGCAGGGCTGGAGAGAGAGTAAAATTACAGTGACATCTAGTGATCATAAACATATCACAGTGCTGCTACCAGTGAAAAAATAAAACATTTATTGTTAGACGGTGTTTTAAATCGGAACACACAAAATTAGATCATTAACTGAGGCCAGGCTATGAGGTGGGTTACAAATGAGGGTGGATGATGTGAATTAGAGTGCTGCGGGGATGGGAGCAAAGCGCCAGCTCTAGGGAAGGGCTGTGGGTGGGTTTCTGCAGGGATCTTTGCTAGCTCTGTATTTCTCACTACTTCAGCAGAGTTTGCTGCTGGTACTAAATTGCAGCATATTCATATAAAAGAAGCTTCAACGTTTTGGGGACTGGGAATAGAACTAATAAAAAGATGTGCCGCTTCGAAAAGTACGTGCTAGTCCCCAGGGAAAAGAAAGGAAAATGAACCCTATTCCGTGGTAGGAGTATGCGGTGCTGCAGCAGCTCTGCATGAGCACAGACCAACACAGAAGGAAAAACCAAATAAAGAGGCAATACCAACTGGCCAGCAAAGCTACAAGTCAGGTTCGCATCCTGAATGAAAGTTGGATTTGGTTTTGCATTTGGCAGCAGTAGGAGCTCACAGGTTTTGTGATGTTTAGATTTGAGTGTTTTCCACTACAGATTACTGGTTTTTAGCTAAAAAAAAAAAAAAAGAAAAGAAAAAGAAAGAAAAAAGGTATTTTTCTTCTGGTTTTCAATATCAGATGGGCAGTCTGACCCACTTGGTCAAGCTGGGTTTAAATTCAGCTGTCCTCCTGAAGATCCTGCTGTTGCCTATTCATGTCTTCATCACTCAAAGTGATGGAAACTGAATCAGCCAGGTTAGCTGGTGTAACAACAAAGGCAGGTAGCTGATGCAGATGGTGAACTGATTTTGTGGTTTAAAGCAGGTATCTTTGTGGTCATATAAATATGCAGTCAAATTTTCTTATGATGAAACATTCAGGAGCTGCTTCAATAAAAGTTGAGAAGGAAGCTCCCAGGCAATTTCTGAGCCCTTCCCTTGAGCCAGGCAGGTTTAGTCTCTCAATTATTAGCTGAAAGCAGAATATACATTCCCACTGTCTGGTTTCAGATGCCGCTAGAGAATATGCCTCAGATACATGCATAAGGGAGAGACAGATTCAGGCACATCAGATGCTCTGGCTGCCTCTGACTGTTGTGAGCAATAACAGCAGAATGGAACTTTACTAAAAATGGGATCTCAAAATAACTATTGGGTTTCTATGATTAGGTAAGCGATTTTCTAGAAGGAAGGAATGTGTAGTGGGATTTCAGGTGCTGCATTTCAGGAAAGCTTTTGGTACAGCGCTATTTGGAAAATCATTAGCTATGCCGGTCTAGGCAGGAATGGGAAGAATAATTGCAAACTGGGTAAGGACCTGGTGCAAGACAGAGGACCAGCTTTTGGTGAGGTTGCTTAGTGTTTGTACGGGTGATGAAGGGGATGGGGTTTGCTTGCTGAAGGGTTCAGAGACCTGCTCATGCCATCTTTCCTGCAGGGTTGGGGCACACCTCATGCCTTTTGTGGAAGCTGGAGAGTGGAGAAAAAAGGCATTGCAGCCATTATACTGCAACAACTCCTGCTATGTCTCAGGAATTTCCCCAAGGGTTTGCATTATTTTAACAGAAAGCTATCCTGAGTAGAAGGCACTTACCTCCACTGCCTGCTGGGTCCTGTTCTGGTCCTGTTCTCCAGCTCCAGCGACACTAGATTTGTCAATATTATATGTGTCTTCATTTGCTCTGGCCAGGGGGGATCACGAGCTGCGATGAGACATGAGGTGCAGCACCCAATGCTAGGCAGGCTTGGAGCACAACTGCCAAGAAAGCAATTAAAAATAACATTAGTGTGAATAGACAAATTTAATGTTGGGTTTCATCTCAGCAGGACTTCACAGTGTGTGGTCAAACCACAGGCTTGTTTCCATGACAGGTCTATTTATTTAACTAGTGGAGCAGTGGAGATGTCTCTCCGGCTGCTTAAAAAGCAGGTGGCTACTTTTCAAGGACTCTTTCACCAGGATTTCATACTACAGCTCCCATTAAATAAAGGCAGATCTTCCAGCATGATGGCATCCTCAGCACCTGCCTGAGAGGAAACACTGACTGGGAAGTGGCATCAATTTGTAACAGCGTCATGAGGAAAAGGAAGTACTATTGTTGTTGCATGGAATTAGTTCCCTTTTACCGTATGGGGTGAAAATGGATTTGGTCTGTGTCACTTCAATCGGGTTCATCACCCCACGGCAAAGGCCGTTCACCAGTTCAGATGGTCAAGGATCAAACTGGTCCTTGCTAGAAAAAGGATTATTGTGGGTATCAGCCCTGGGGCCGCACAGCATGCATGGAACTGGATTTTGGGAAAGGGCTGCCTCTTGGCAGAGCTTGATTCTGGAAGACGATTTGATTCAGTAACTTGAAATTACTTTTAAAAGATTCACTCATCTCCCAGATGAGCAATGCAGAAGTGGATGTGATTTTAGATCCCACCAGCTATGACAATTTACCTTGTCAGTGGAGAGTTTCTTTCCCCTCTCTGCTCTCCAGAATACAACCCACTGCACAGACTGTATCTAAAAGCTGCTTCCCAGCTTTCAGTTCATCCCTTAGCCCCAGAGGGCTGCATTCCTCCTTCCATCCCTCCTCGGGTGCAGCAGACCACAGGGGGCCAGCTAGCAAAATCATGGGCAGTTTCTCCCAGCTCTGTTTGCTCCCCTCCTTCTCCAGATGTGAATACTTTGCTTTTCTTCTTTCCATAGACCTGTATGTGGTGTGCAGTACTTCATGCTGTATGTACTTGCTGTGGGTGCATGGAGAGGCAGAAAAGTCCTGTGAAAAAGGTTTCTACCTGTCCATGAATCCCTGCAGTGCCACTTAGAAGCCACAGCAATGCCCCTGTGTGTAGCAGGGAGGAAAACCAAGAGCTCCAGAGTCCGGGTTGCCACAGTAACCTTTGCTCTACCGCCTTTGGCTTTTACACTGGGAAAAGCCTTTCAGTCTGTAAACACCAGCTCCATGGACATGCCTGACATTGGTAATGTTTGGGGGTGGTGGGCTATTTATTGCCAAGATTCAGTGAAGAGCCCCACACATCCATCTTCTTGCTTCTGAATCTTCCCATAACTCTCCTTGACACAGCCATAAGCACCCCAATAAAGGTAAGTCTGGGGGAGCATTTTGAACCCAGTGCATTTCTCCTTTCTTTTTCTGGGATGTGTGTTAGTGCATTGTAATTAATATGTGTTTTCTGAAGATGCAGTTGCTCTTTTTTTTCCTTTGCTGTCACTGTAACTCTGTTTTCTACTCTTTCACTGAGATACAAGGCTTTCCCTCAAAAAAAAAAAAAAAAGAAGTAAAAAAAATCTAAGTAATGGGAATGACAGAACTTGTGTAATTGTTCTTCTTTTTGCCTGTTTCCGGGCTGATTGCCTGAATTAGGGCTGATACAAATTCCCACAGGAATCTATGAGAGTCTTTTCACTGAAACAACAGTTTGGTTTTGTAGGAGCAGCCTCAAAGCTAGGTGAATGGAAGTAGCATTGCTTCAAGGGTACGGTGGAATTAGGACAAGTTAACCCTGCTAAGGATGGGGCTTGGTAATTTCACTGCTCAGAAGCAGTCAGAAATGGTGTCTGCTGCTGCATTTAGGCACATGCACAAAGATATTTATAATTCAGAGCTAATATATCTGTGTATATATAAAAATATATGTTCACTAATATGAACTAGATCTCCATATGGAAAACATACGAATTATAAAGCCAAGATCTCTTCCGTTTAGGAAAATTAAGGAATATTTCCTTTTGCAGCGTTCTTTCTGTTGTTTCATAACCCAGATGCAGGAAAACATCATTCACAACTGTTTCATCACTACCTCTCTGCTACCCCAAATGTGAGCTCACCTAAGGAATTCTGGAGGGCTGAGTGAATGCTCTTCTGTCCCCCATGTATTCCTACACATATATACTCCTTCAGTCAGATCACCTGCTCATTAACTGGGAATTATTTTCCTCTTCAAATATATTGCAACAATATTTTTTCTGCTATAGTATAGGTTTGGATACCCAGCCATTTATGTGCCTGATAATGACCGACAGAGACTGTTGACTTGTGGATCCTCTTTGAGCAAGCAGGTCGTACCTAAGCGGGTGGAATTACATTGCCTGTGCCCAGGTCACAGGCTGCTTTATGTATTTGTTTAGCAACTGTACAGAGTTTTTGCAGATGATCAGCTAATTAAATTTAATAGGATGTCATATGCTGACTTCTGGACTAGACATAACATTTTCAAATAAGGCCTTTCTGTCCCTGCGCAGGAAAATTCATTGCCCTGCAATTACCAAGCAATGGTGAAAACATAGTGAAATTAAAGAGAATTATGAACTGGTCTTTAGCAACTGAGTATTTCCCCATAGACCATCTGCTTCACTTGCAGGCCCTGACGTGGATGCCCATTTTGCCTGGCTGAATCTCTGTAACAGCACTTCCCCAAATTCTTCCTGATTTCGCCATTTAGGAAATGTCCAAAGAAGGCCTTTGACAGTGTGATGGACATCTCTCATTAGGAAGCATGAAATGAAGCTGTCTCAGGGTTCAGCCAGCAATGCTGATGCCCCATTACATATTACACTGTCGTACTTCCCTTCGGCAATGACAGCGTAACATGATGACAATTATTAACTAGTTAATCATGGGAGCATTTATCTGTACAAAAAATCAGTAAAACAGAATAAATCAAATTCCTAGATAGGGCACTGAAATGAAGAGAGAAAGATTAAAACCCTGGGTCTCCAAAGGTGCTCTGGGTGCACGCTACATACTGATTTGGGAAGCACTGGCATGTTTTTGCAGCAGTGTGTGCAATGGTCGGACACAGAGTGCGAGGGAGGTCATGCTGTTATTGCAGAGTTAAGCTGCAAAGGTAGAACCTCAGCCACAGGCAAATGCTGGGTGTTCGAGCTCCTTTGGGAGGCTGCTGAGAGGCAATCCCTCCCTCCCCAGTGATTACGGGAGGGAGCCGAAGCCCTGTGCCCCACGGCAGGATGGACCAGCTCTGCCAAGCAGTGCAGGAAGCAGTGGTGCTGTGCGATAACACGGTGGTGGTTTGACCCTTCAGGAAGGGTGAAAAAGCCCCACCATTTGCTGACATTCATGCTGAGGACCAATTACATATCAACCTCCTGCTCACGGGGATGCTGCCCGTAGCTGGGGCAGCACCATGGCTGCAGGCAGAGGTACCCTGAGATGGGAATGGAGCTGCTGGCTCTGCCATTGACCCCCAGGAAGGAGAGCTGGTTTCAGATGCTGCTGCTGCCGAGGTGCATTTCATGTTTGAAACCACTTTACATGTGATGCTGCTGGGGCTGCCTTGGCTCTGGTTTGTTAAGGAGCGTTTTCGGCAGCACTTGTGGGAGCTGAGAAGCGGGGAAATCAGTGCAAAAAAGAAATGCAAACTGCAGCTGTGTCTTACAGATGTGCTCCGAGCCAAACATTCAACATGGAAAGGGTTGGGCTCTGCTGACCCTGTGCATGAGATCTCTTCTCTGCCCAGGATGGGGGCCCCCTCCATGCCCAACCATACACGTTGCAATCCCAGTGCTGCCTTATTGGTGCATCCGAGTACTGCATGAGTGAGTTTTGGGTTATTTTGCTTCCAGGACTGGTACCTGCACACCCCAGAACCCAGAGGAGACCACTGATCATTCTGTCTTGAACCGGGTCTTTCAGAAGGAAAAACCGGAGGAGTCTGTCTGTGGTTATGAGGATTGTGGATGTAGCAGGTTGGCAACAGGAAGAGTAGGTGAACCCAGGTAGGACAGCATTTCTCTCATGAAGGAGCTAATGGGGATGGGGCAAAGCTGGCCAAAGAGCTGTTGAGAAAGCCTCAGTTACCCCAAATATTTGGTAGGGTTTACTGGCTGCATTAGTGAGTGGGCAAGGTGGGCAAGCAGATCCAGAAAGCTGTTAAACAAGCTGCTGGCTTCTCTAGCTCCTCCTCCAGTTACCAGGATAGCCACCTTTATCTCCTTGTCTTCTTCATCCTCCTCCTCAGTGCTCTACATCACTCCTCCTCTCCAGATGCCAGCAAAGCCAAAACTGTGGCTTGAAGCCTCCCCAGCCACAGACCCAGCCCTTGCAGACCCCAGCTACTGGCACGTTCAGAGAAGCCAGCACAGCTCTCTGCTTTCCAACCTGAAGGACTTTCTCCTCAGTGTTTTCATAGTTTGACAACACTGCTGGCATCTCCAGGGGAGGTGGCCCACAAGATGGAGACAGTGACAGCACAGTAAGGATGTGATTATCACTTGTGAAATGGAAGACAACTTCTCCTTCCCAATATGCACCATGAACGCTCTCAGTGGAGTGGCAGAAGCGGCTATAGTGTGCCCCCATGCACTGTGACCATGCTTCAGTGAGGACCCCACTCTGACGTGTCCCATCACAACTGTCACGATTCATGGGAAAGCAGCAGCCACATATATAGTCATATTTTTCAGTGAAGCAGTTATCTCATTTTTTTCTTTTCTTCAAACCCTCTATGAGATAAAGGCATTCATGTAGAAAAGCCGATTGCTCCCCTCGCAGAATCAATGATGGAATCATAGAATATTTTTTCATGGAATTAACTAACTGAATTATGACCATTTACATGTAAGAGATTTACGCTGAAACCCTCAGGTCTGGAAAGCCCTACAGACCCAATGTGTTCTCTCAGTCTGCATCAACCCTTGGTGTTGGCTTGTGTGAGAAACCTCATATTGGCAAGGTGAAGATAAGCAGAGGGGATTATTTTTGACACTCACCAGCCCTCAGAAAGATGCATCAGATATAGATCTGGTGTGTTCTTCACCAAAAAACCAAAAGCCACGCAACGCCCAGCACAGCTACTCCCTTCTCATGAGCAAAAGTTGCTGTAGTTGCAGGTTCCTCCTTTGGCTGGTGGAGTGGACTCCACCAAGTTGCACATGATAGATGCCACAGATACAAATCCAGGAAGATATGTAGCCACAGATATTTGATATCTAGAATTACATAAGGTAATTAGTATAAAGCGTGAGGGAGTTCTGCAGTTAGGAATATGTTTATAGATCGTGAATATCTTTTACCAGTCCTGTATTGGAACAGCCTACACCTATTAAATCCCCTTTTAAATGAAAGGCTAAAGCTAGTCATTTGGCTCAGGGTGTGCATGTTTCCTTTTCCAGCAACTCTTTGCTCAGCAGGATGGGGGAATCTGACCTTGTGTAAGAATTCAAGATTTTACACCAATTCTGTTTAAAACACTAGATTGTTTAATTACTTTAAGTCTTTCTCCTCTCTAGTTATGTAGAATACCATGCAGTTTGTATGTTAAGCATCCAGCCAATATAATTAATAATATAACATGGTATAACACAATATGATAATATGATATTATATAATATAATATGATATGATAGGATATATACTATGCTGTGCCATGCTATGCTATGCGATGCTATGCTACAATATAATGTAATGTTATATAATGTAATGTAATGTAACAATGATATAATGAAATAAGAATATAATAATATATAACGTAATGTAACATAATTATATCCTTGGTTTGTTTTACAGCCCATCACAGAGGTCATTATAGAGGGGACCCTATGCTTTTATTTCCTCAGGCAAATATTTCAGCATATAATAATCTATTAATACAGGGAGGAAGGGATATTTGACACAGCTTCTTGGGAAAGTTAGGATGAGAGAATAATTTCAGTAATAAATCAAATGCTGTCCACAGTTTAAATTCATAAATACATAAAGGTGAGTGTGATTACATTGAGGGTCTTCTGGATAAAGCTCAGTGAGCTTCAGTTCCTGCCAAGGTTGGGAAACTGCAGTACAACATCTGGATAGACAGCCACAACCTTTCTAAGGACGTTCCCATTTCTGCCTTCACCCCGCAGTCACGCTCCCCAAAACCCATCCTGCCCAAGCTGGACTTTGCACTTTGCTCCTTCTGGGGACAGGCACATGAGTGTCACAGCTGCATTACCCAGCAGTTGTGATTGCAGTTTATTGCCCACCAAGCCTGAGATTAGCCCCAGTGATCTGGCACAGAGCTGAAATGCTATCAGACCCCAGCAAGGCTCCTGGGTCAAGATCAGCCTTTCCTTACCTTTCGTGCTCACTGAGTGAACTTTTCCCTCTGATGGCCTTTGGCATATGTGGGTGGGGATGAGAATTTGTGGATTTAATGGCTTAAGGAGCAAAATGTGCAGGGTGGGAAAAAAATAGAAAGTGAGGAAGGAATGACATCATAGGATGGTGAGTTGGGATGACAATTTGAAAGACAGAGGAAGAAAATACTTAATATCAGAGCTGTGTTTTAGAGAGAGGAGTTGAGAAAAGCTGAATATTGAAGTATCAGGAGGAGCATGTTTTGGTTAGGAAACACTTGTGGTTTAATGAGGCCACAAAATTAGTTAGAACAGATCTCCAACCACTTCATATGTTTGTCCAAGGAAGAGCAGCAAGTGTCCACTTCTGGCATCATCTGTGGTCCCAAATGTCTCTGGGCAAGGAGTATGGCTGGGTCTGCTCTCACACCACACAGTGATGTGTCCATGGGCTTCTTTTCAGTATGGTTTCTTTTCAGTCTTCATTCCCACCAGGACTGCAGGTTTGCCATCTTTTGGCTTCTCTTTCTCAAAATGAAGGGCTTTAGACTGTGGGAAGAGAAGGGTTTATTCCATGTACAGGAATATCCATCCAGGAATATGAACTTTGTACTGAATTGTATTTGCCCAGAGGAACTTGATGAGGCCGGGTAATCCATTCCCTTCAGCACCTCTTGGCTTGGGCATTGGCTCTCACTTGTGGGGTCAAGCACCAGCCAGTGGTGGGATGATAAAGAGCTAGATTTTGATATGGGAGTGGAGCTGTGTAATAGGTTACCACAGACATCTCTGTCCAGTTCGATTTATTACCTCTGCTAATTACTCTAATAAATCAGTGTTTGAATAAAAATTGCATTATTACCATGACAAACTGGAACTACCATTACAGAGCTAACAGGAAAGAAACTATCTGTGTGTGAGAGAGAATTAGTAAGACTTAGCTTGGCAAGATACAAGCAAACTTGGTAGATAAAAAAGCACACCAAAAGGATGGAGCCCCCTATGTATTAGCACTCCATAGTCATTACTTTACCAATAGCATCCTCACCACCACGATATGCTTAGGAGTTACCTGTGGGCAAAAAAAAAAACAAATAAGACACACTGCTGCCCCACATATAACGAATTCTATGTGAAATTCACCATAACAAAAAATGCATGTAAATCACAGAGAGCAAATTAAGCAAAGGCAGTGCTGAAGTTCTTGTGTGTGCTGGTTGAGGCAAGGGGGCTTCACGTGCAAATTGCTGTGCTGAAATCTCGCAGGTTTTTAGAAACAGTGCAAAAACCTCCTGCAACTGAACACATGCAAGATTTCTTCCCCAGGTTTTAAAACAAATAGCAACCTAATACCTGGGGGAAAATACACATGTATTACCTGGGTGCATTCCGCTAGCTACTGAAACAAAGAAATACAGTTTTCCTCACACCCTGAGCTAGCCCCTGCAGAAAGCATGAAATGAATGGCAATGCGAAGCGGCTTCTGCTGTAATAACAACCAGGTTTTGCATGTGTGGAGCCAGTGCTATTGGTTTTGCTCGCTCTTTACAGCTCTCATGCTCCACCCTTCTGCTTTTCTTCTGTTTTTTTTTCCCCCAGCTTTTGCAGTCTGACAGAGGCAAGTGAAAGGGACTTGAAGGAAAAGACATTTCTCTGAAAAGGAGTTGGAGAAGAGTCCTCAAGCCCTGTCTGCACTAGGTAAAGGACAGCCGGCCACGCCACTGTAGCTTAAAACCATAACCCCCAAGCCTCGGGAAGTACACTGGTGATTGAACTGATTCTCCAGGTAAGTCTGCTTTTTGAAACTCTGAATCTTGGTAGCTGAGTGCTCCCTAACCAGGAAGTGAAATCTGTTTGAAGACAAAGCACGGCAGAAAATGATGTAACAGCAGAGTGGGGAATGCTCAGCTGCTCGGTGTAATAGATATGCTGGTTTATTTACTCAGTTATATCAGCCCCAAGCAGATTGGGCATTTTTGCCATCTGACTTATTTCAGATACCACTGTTGAAAGGGCCTTATAAATACCCACAAGAGATGGGCAGACAGATAAAAACCCCACACCAACATTTTCGCTTTAAGAAAAAGTATCTGTATGTGTTTTGCCTGAAATGGCAAAGTGAAAGGATGGAAGAAAGAAAGGGAAAACCAACTCATTTGCTGGGGAAGCTGGTTTAAAGTTCACATGGCAAGAACTAGGTTTCTGCTGAGTTTTCAAAAATGAATAGAGTTATGGAGATGTGGGGGAAAGCTTGGGAATGAGCCAAAAGCTGAAGAAATACAATCCCCTGAATAATCATCTGATAATGGATCATTTAGGCCTTCTTGTTGGGTGTCAGAGACGTGGAGGTGGCCATAACGCAATAGTTACAGATTTCTGTAATGTTTCTATCCAAAAGGTTACAATCAAAGATGCATTGAATGGTTTGGGTTGGAAGGGACTTAAAAGCTCATCCCTTCCAACCCCCTGCCATGAACAGGGACACCTTCCGCTAGACCAGGATGCTCCAAGCCCTGTTCAACCTGGCCTTGAACACTGCCAGGGAAGAAAAAGCCACAGGTTCCCTGTACAATAAGGACACAAGTAGCCAACCCAGGGCACCCTCTGCTTCTGCCAGGATTTTCACTGCTTTCTTTATACGTTGAAAATATCTGTCCAAAATCCCCATACAATTTGGGGTGTGTGATTTTCCATCAGATTAAGAATTTAATCCTGTTGGAGCAGTTGGGCTTTTTCATACAATTTTACCTTAAGAATCATATAGAGGAACATAAGAACATTTTGGGACCTGTCAGGTCAATAACCTGAACAACATCGCTCCATATTGAGAGATGTCTGAAGATTAGCAGTGCTTGGGGAGGAATACCGAAAGTACTTGGCTATATCAATATCCCTTTCTTGTTTCCCTACCATCACGGGGTGGGAGGGTTCGAGCTGCTTTCCACCCCCTGTGCTCATGACACACAGCCTCCCACTGAGCCCTTCTCTTGTGCTGGGAAGGGTGATGCCTGGTCCCTTACCCATGCGCAGCCACCTCTGCAGGGAAGACTATGAGTTGAAGGAGCAAATGCATCCCCAAAACATGATGTTAGAAAATGTAAAGCTCCCTGAAACTTGTAGTTTTGGCTCAGACCTTCGTTTCCTCCTGCTGCTGGTGTAGGGTTGTGATTAGCGGAGCTAGGGAGCTAAGCTGTGCTGCGGGGAGACAGCTCACAACAGATGAAGCAAAACACCTCCCTCTGTGCTGTGTTTCTGCCCTAAAAATCACCCCAACTCTGCTCCAGGGCACATCTGCTGCTACTACCAGCATGGAGAGCAGGAGCAAGCGAGACCAGCTCGTGCCAGGCTGCCTAAATAATGAAGGAAATACCACTTCAGGACAGATTTATTTCAGATCTGGCTGCAGAGGAGGCTCTGGATTGCTCTGCAAGAGTGGGAGGGTTTGTTTTCTGCTTCTGCTTTGCTGAGTCAAACAGAGAGTAAGGCAGTTCAGATCTGGAGAGGCTCAGTTCCTGTCATTTCTAGTGTGGAAACAGTGCTGCTACTGTTTTTGTTCCTTCCTACAGAGATTTGTAGCTTTGCTGGGCAGGAACTGTACTGAAATGTGCTTAGCACAGCTGGAGCCTTTCATCACAGCTGTAAAAGAAACAATTAAAAATAACAGTTGTGCTCATCAGCAGTGTCCCATTGGCTTCCCTCACTGCTAATACTCACTCAGCTGCCTTTGATGGGGCCATTAGTCAAATCCCGCTCATCTTCTGAGCAGGTCACCCACAATAATGACTGCCCCATTACAAGAGATGGGGAAGATCCTTCCATCACTTCTGACACAACCTATTATTTTTTTTCCACCATTCTCTCAGCAGCAGCATGGACATCAAGGAATATTTCACCAGGATTTCTTACCAGGGCTCTTATGATAAGGCAGACCTGGCTACCTTGACTGATATATTCCAGCATCACATCCGAGCGGTCCCTTTTGAGAACCTCAGCATCCACTGCGGGGAAAGCATTGAGCTGGACCTGGAAGCGACTTACAACAAGATAGTGAGGAAAAACCGTGGGGGCTGGTGCATGGAAAACAACCACCTTTTATCTTGGGTCCTGAAAACCCTTGGCTACAATGTCACCCTCCTGGGATCAAAAGTTTATGTCCCAGAGTACGACGCATACGCAGATGAAATCGATCATCTGCTGCTAAAAGTGGTGCTTGATGAGAAACCCTTCATCGTGGATGGTGGGTTTGGGATGGCTTACCAGATGTGGCAGCCAATGGAGCTGATTTCAGGGACAGACCAGCCACAGACTCCTGGTGTCTTTCGCTTCCTGGAGGAGACTGGGGTCTGGTACCTTGAGAAGGTGAAGAGGAAGCAGTGGGTTCCCAACCAAAGCACCTCCGCTTCCCATAACATAGAAAAGGAAGTTTGCCGTCGGGTTTATCTCTTCACCCTTCAGCCACGGGACATTGAAGAGTTCCGAGCCTGTAATGCCCACCTGCAGACAGCACCTGACTCGCTGTTTGTGAAAAAGTCTATCTGCAGCCTGCAGACCACGAACGGCATCAGGGCTCTGGTGGGATGGAAATTCACTGAGATAAAGTACAATTATAGGGATAATATGGATCTGGTGGAAATCAGAATCCTCGCAGATGAAGAAATGGAGAAAACACTGAAAGATAAATTCAATGTAACACTAGACAAGAAATTTGTACCCATCAATACAAGCAGGTTGTCTCTATTTTAACTCACTGTCTGAATTATAATTCAACTCAATGGCATTACATGCAATCCCCCCCCTGTTTCTGAGAAGCATTTAAAGGTTAAGCTTTCTCTTTCCATCTACACCAGTGTAAGGCCGAGCATGTTAGCATGAATCTGGAAATATATTTTTACAACTGCCCCTGCCTCTGTTTTTGGTTTGGGCACAAATAATTTCTTCCCAGCTCAATCAAATCACTCCCTTTCTGTTTGTGCTTATCTGCAAGCAGACTCTGCTCACCCCCCTATTCCTTTCATCTCGTAAAAGCTTTTCTAAATACATGCAGAGTAGCAGGGCAGAGCAATGGAGCTGTTATGTCTCTTTTTTTATTACTTTGTGCTGCCACCTGGGGAAACCATACCCACCTCTTTAAATGAATACCATATTACTTTTGGAATTTAATAGCCAGGAAAACAAAGACATCCAGTGCCAAGTCTGCTATACTTAAGCCATAAGCCAGTCCTTTTTGCTCTTGCATTCACAACACCCTCTCACACACCAGTTGGACAGTCCCATGCCTCTGCCACACTGTGTGAATAGCTACGGACAGGCTGTTTATGTCCTAAAACTGATGAGAACCATGAGCAGACAATTGTCTGGTGTCAGACTTTACACGACTCCTGCTCCCTCAGCGTCATAACTGAAAAGCAGTATTTCTTTGAACTGAAAGCCTCTCCCATGCGTTCTGTTTGCTATCACCCAGCAGCAGCCTGCCGGGAGTAGACGCTCCTCTCAAAAGACTCCACTCTGAGTGTCATTGCACATTAATTATCATTGCTCAACATATTTTTCTGAATTATTTTTCCTGAATTATTTTCCTGAAACTCATCTGTTCTACTGAGGATGTGTTTGCAGTGATACCAATTATATTGATATGAGGAGAAATGATGAATCTTAATCAGATACCCAACAGCTAAGATTTTTAGCATGAGAAATCGCTCAGATGTGATCAGTGATCACTTTGACCTTTGAGAAGATGCTTGAAGTTCCTTTTAGTACAAATTGTGGAAGCGTTACAACTATGCAGTCATGATTAAGAAAATTATATAAGTAAATTACAATTAAATAAAAAAAAATCAAGAATTATGAAGTAGAACTATTAAGTTGTTTTTTCCCCAAAATACAACATGTATTCCATAAAGTAAAAGATGTCATTAATCACCGCAGTTGTCCTGATTATTTGTATGTGCTAATATTTTGAAGCTATGACTTTTAAAATACAGTAACTCACTGCTTCTTTTTACTTCTTATGCAATGTGTGATGCTTTCTATAACCAGCAGTTTATAGTTAATAAAAGCTGCTGCTATTCTGCATGTGCCTTGGGTGGCATGGTTTAGTGGGAGGTGTCCCTGCCCATGGCAGAGGGTTTGACCTAGATGATCTTAAGGTCCTTTCCAACCCTAATTATTCTGTGATTCTATGTCCAAAACCTACTTCATAGAGTCATGGTGAGCTCCCAAATCTCTGCCTTCCCAGAGGCAAACACATCCATGTGTGCAATAGTCTCCTATAGCAAGTGAGACTCCCCTATCCTATAGGGAAATGAAATGTTAGCTACTGACCCTGTAGTAGACTGCAGAAGAAAAGGGACTTCTTATAGTGTAGACCAGCAACTTGCAACAGATTGTTAGAGGAAACCAGGATCTGTCTTGTTTGCAATCCCCATATTAGTCAAAGAGGTAAAGGAGTTAAACTCAGTGGGTTTACCCTTGCATTAGCTTGGGGAAGAGCATCAGGAAGGAAGTAAAAGCCCAGCAGGGTCTCACAGAGGTGCAGGGCAGGAAAAAGCCTGTGCAGAACCAAAAATGTCCGTTGTTTGTGTCAACAGACATGGGAAACACCTAGAAAGGGCTGCACCCGTTCTTCTCCCTGTGCCTGGGTGTTTCTCATGCTTTGGGTTGTTTCATGGGCTCAGAGAAACAGTATAGAATCACAGAACTGTTTAGGTTGGAAAAGACCTTTAAGATCAGAGTAGGGTGTTATGTCCATCTCCCCAGATACTCAGCATGTGAAGGGCAAACAACAATGGGAAAACCCACTTTCCTTTCAGCTGGCTTATCTGGAGCCTCTGTGCCTGCTCTGGTTGCTCTGGCTGTTGCCTGCTTCATGGCACAGCTAAATGCCTCTGGCCCTCCTGCTCAGCACACCCACGGAAGCAGATTTTATTGCTGAGTAATTGATGAAGCTCTCTGTTGGACATTAAAAACAAGAGGCTTTTCATCTCAGAGTGCAGTGGTTTGCTTTTTCCCTATCACTAACTTTGGAGACAAACACTTAAAGGCATAGGAGGCTCAGGGAGCACAGGGTTCTCCAGGAGCAGCATCCCTGCTGCCAAAGGACAGGGCCTCTCTTTGAACCCAAAGGGACATAGCTAAATGACTTGGCAAATCTGACCTTGTTGTTTTGGGGGTCTGGTGTCATTCACAAAGAATAGCTCAGTGCAGTGTGATTAACTCAACGGTTGCCATCTCCCACCAGTAAATCAGTGACATCCTGGCTTGGATGACTGTCTTCCTATCTAAGTCACTTCCTATAGGTTTCCAGGCCACATGAGTGTCAACAATGTAAAATCTGCATCAAAATTTGCACTATTGTTTTGCTGCTTCAGCGTGGGGTCAACCATTGAGGTGCCCCAGAGATTGACGCACCTGGTTGACCTGTGGGGCTGAGGATGGGGTTATAATTGCTTACAGAAGTTGCTGGATAGACCCATACTGTATTTCTCCTTTGCACTCCTGAAGGGCTTCAATTCTTAATCAGTAACATGGGAGGTTAAAATTTGCTCAATACTGTAAGCAATTTGAGGACTGGGTAATTTTTAGGATCTATGTACAGCACCTAACTCAATGAATTGCATGACAGGGCTTTCTAGGCATATGCCAAAACAAATAAATCAGTTAAATCATCACAATATAAACTATTAGGAAAGAAGAAACCCTTCCTCCTATTTTCCTGCTCTGCTAGAGGATAGGGCTGTCCTTGCAGGCAATAAAGGCAGCCTGGACCTTTAAAAGCAGCAGTTCCAGGAACAACTCTTCCTGGGAACTTCGGAGCAAACCAGGGCAGCAAGGCTGAGCTCGCTGGCAGAGAGGTAAGTGCTCGGGTGTCTGATCTTTAACTTTATCCTCCAGCTGCAGGTCAGCCTGTTTGGAAAAGCCCACCCCTGTGGGTCTGCATACCATGTGCTTAGCACTGGAGGCATATTAGCGAAGTATAAATTACAGCAACTCTAGGGCTGACAAGCATGCGTTGCATTATAAGGACGTTGTCCAAGTGCAAAGATCAATTCCTGGAGACTTAAACTAACCCCTTTATGCTGAGCCACAGTGTATGAAAAACCCAGCTGCGGGCTCACAGAGTAGCTTAAAATCAGATGAATGGTATAGGCATGTGCAAGAGGATCCAACCTTGGAAGGCTCTCATGAATTTTAGCAGGGAACTGTTCCTGATATTCAGCCTAATTCTGAAAGGAAAGTACTCCCCAGCTATGCTTGCAGACAGGCAGAACCCACGGCTGAATGTCACTACCCACCAACCTGCACGAATGCTGAGTGAAGCTTGGCTGTTGCAGGAGCAAAAGCAAACAAGGCTGAGATCCGGAATGAGGCTTAAGATATTTGGCAACTTGGTTTTGGAATACAAACTGTCCCGAGTGAGGGCTTGCTCGCTGCTGCAGCCCTATCGCTACCAAGACAGGAATGATTGTGCAGAGAGGAAAAGCTGCCTGTGGCAAGGCAAGGGAGTAAAGAGATTTATGTGAATGCTCCCCAACACCAATAGTTTTGTACTGCAGGCTTATTATACTTCAACCTCTGTTAGTATTCATTGAAATCAGAGCCCATTTTGTCAGCCACCACGAGGCTGTCTCTGCTATACAGGCTTTAAATAGATGAGGCCAGATAAGGGACAGATGGGGAAACTGAGGCATGGGCTGAGCATTTCCCAAAGTCTGTTTTCCCAAAGCCTCATTGACAGTGCCTGTGGAAGCTCTTGATGGGGAGGTTGTGATGGCTGGAAGTGGGGAGCTGGTTATTCACTGCTGGGGCGACGGGGACACTCAACCCCAAGAGACAGGTTGCAGGGAAGGCATCAGGTCTTCTGCTGCTGGCCCAGAGCAGGGACAGCGTATCAGACCCACCAGGCTAATGGACTCGCTTGAGCTCCTCCTGGTCAGAGGCTCAGCTTGACACTATCTCAGGGAACAGATGTTTCTATCAGGCTATTCAAAATGGCTAGAAGTGGGAATAGAAAAGAAAATGGGGACCACATGATGAGCTTGCTACTGTACATGTTTGCTGTCTGTTGGGGAGGGAATGGCTTTGTACAATCAGTGTTTCCAAGGAGAGCCTGCCCTTGTAAAAAAAGTATGGAAAAAAAACATAAACTGCACTATCAAAGACATATTGTTGTTTTTCTGTGTAAACTGTTTGTGTTCTTTTGAAGAGATGATGCTTATTTCTTATTGTTTTATCAGGATTGTCTTCTATTCTGTTACTTTTTCCCATGATTTTGCATCAGCCAGTCTGAGTTCTGTACCAGTGCAGGTCTGGAGCAATACAACTAAGTCAAGTGAGTTGTGCTGATGGCATTAAAACTGGGGTTAAAGTCTAGAGGTTAGGTCATTTGATGTGCTTATCTGCTGGGTTGGAGGTATTTCCACCTATGTATTTGAGATAAGATTTTTAAGAGCTCCTGGAACTTGCTTGAGTGCTGGCATGGACATCAGGTCAAACTGCTGGTCACTCCTAGGGGAGCAGTTGGACCAAAGCTGAGAACAGTTTCTGGAAATCTCCCATCTTATCTACATCAAATGATTTTTGGAAAATCCTCCCAGGGAACATATAACAAATTTCAAGGAGCGAGAAATCATAGAATCATAGAATGGTTTGGGTTGGAAAGCACTTTTAGTTCCACCCCCCCCTTGCCGTAGGCAGGGACACCTCACACTAAACCATCTCACCCAAGGATCTGTCCAACCTGGCCTTGAACACTGACAGCGATGGAGCATTCACAACTTCCCTGGGCAACCCATTCCAGTGCCTCACCACCCTTACAGTAAAGAACTTCTTCCTTATGACTAACCTAAATCTCCCCTGTTTAAGTTTAAGCCCATCACCCCTTGTCCTATCGCTACAGTCGCTGATGGAGAGTCCCTCTCTGGCACCCTTGTAGGAAGCCTGCTATGAGGCCTCAGACTTTCTGGAAATTAATACAGTCCTTAGCAAATTATGAATGATTCTGGAAAACAAATAATCTTGCATGGAAAAAAAAGCAATATTAAATCTAAATTAAAGGCAAAAGAAATCCTTGCAGATACCAGGTGAGTCAGAGAAGTGTTACAGGGAACCTTTTGCATCTTGGCCATGGAGCCTGTATGTAGCCAATGACAATCTCTTTTGGCTAATAAAAGAAAAGGGGTTCAGAGACATGAAGACATAAAATATATCTAATAAATTGAACTGAAACTAAGGGGTTTGGTTTATAAAACATGGCAAAAGAAACCAAAACCTGATGAATATACCTTGAATGTTTTCTTGGTAATTATCAATTCATCTGACCCCTAGGTTAGGAAAATTAACAATTCCTTCCTTTCAACAGCCAGGGTCAAAGCTCTGTCTGAACTCCACAGGGTAACTAAAGAGATTAAGAAAACAACAGTCTGCTTCACATAGAAGCCTGTCTAAAATGGTGACACACTGAGATGTTAATCCCAGCTAGCTGAAGCCATGAACGTAAAACTTCCAAACTAAATTACCTGTGGGATAAACAAAGAATTGCTTACCTATTACAGTAAAAGAAACAGCAAGAAATTGCTGTGACTTTCGTGCTGTTATGGTCCAGCAGTTTTTCTGCAAAGCTGTTTTTTATCCTTTTTATATTTTTTTTTTGTCATGTGGGACCCCCATCCAGGGCCAGAGATTCTATTGTGCCATGTGCCATGTCTTCCCATAGGAAAGACATCCACCTGTGTTGAAGACAACATCTGAGAGAGAGAAAGCATTATTGTCACCTGCTCCTATGCTCATATCTTTTTTAATACAGATGACACAGGCAGATCCAGCCTGCTTTCATCTATCAAGGGCACAGGTTTCTTTCAAATCCTCCATGAAACAGCCTAGGCTGCATTTGCAGACTGGTTAACCTATGCTACGGTAATAGGAGTGAGCCCCTTGACAGCCACACAACAGTAATTGCCTATTTTTCTACTCACACAGGCAAAATGAACATTCAAGAGTATTTTGCAAGGATTTCTTACAATGAGTCCCATAAGGATGCAGACTTGCAAACCTTAACAGTCATTTTCCAGCATCACATCCGGGCAATTCCTTTCGAAAACCTCAGCATGCATTGTGGGGAGACCGTCAAACTGGATTTACAAGCTATTTACAATAAGATTGTGAGAAAGAAACGTGGTGGATGGTGCCTGGAAACCAATTACCTTTTATTCTGGGCCTTGGAAGAGCTAGGGTTTGATGTCTGTATTCTCGGAGGAAATAGTTACGAACCAGCAGAGAGAGCATATACTGCTGAGATAAATCATATCCTACTGAAGGTGGTGATCAAGGGAAACTCCTACATAGTAGATGCTGGTTTTGGTGGTGCCTACCAGTCATGGCAGCCCTTGATACTGATTTCCGGGAAAGATCAGCCCCAGACCCCTGGCATCTTCCGCTTCACTGAAGACAATGGCAGCTGGTACTTTGAGAAAGTCAAAAGGAAGCATTACATTCCCGAGCAAAGCGAGCCTGCCACTGGTACTCCAGAACCAGGAAATATCAGAAAAATGTATACATTCACGCTTCAGCCACGAGATATAAATGACTTTCAGGAGCTAAACACAAATCTACAAGTGTCTCTAGATAACATACTTCGGAAGAAGTCAATCTGCAGTCTCCAGACCCCTGAAGGGGTTTATGCCTTAGTTGGATGGACCTTCACTGTGGTGAAGTATAACTACATGGAGGATATGGACCTGGTGCAGATCACAACTCATACAGATGAAGAGGTTGACAAGATACTGAAAGACAAATTCAGTATAGTGCTGGAGAACAAACTCGCACCAGTAAATGTTCGTGGCTTGCCACCTAATTTAGTGGATACAATTTAATCCTAATGCTGTTCTAGATGGATCTTTATGTAGCCAATATAAAAAGTTCCAAATTAACATTAATGGCATTTAATCTGATTCTAAAGTTGAGCTAGTCAGGTGGACACAAAGCTTGGTAAATTCAAGTATATTGCTAATTAACTGCATACACAAATCGCATGTTTTATCTTAAGCTACTCCTTTAGAAACTGAGAGACCTTACTACATCTAATTTTCCCATATGGAAATAGACTTTTGACTCCGTAACATTTTGTTCCACCTCTCTGGATTTGCTTTTATTTCAGACGTGTTTTGTGGCAAAGAAAACCGAAACGATACAGAAGGAACAGCTGTGTTACCATTTTACACAAAAGACCTCTAATCTTTTCTTGGTATTATTTCCAATCTTCTTCTCAGCAGAGTTTTAAGAATTGTTCACTTCCTTTAACAGGCTGAAATGAAACTTGAGCTGAATTTGGCTTTCAGAAACTTCATAAAAAAAAAGAAAAGAAGGATTAAGACCTTCTCAAAACAAGCCACTATTAGGTGCTGATTAGCTTATGATGAAATAAGTTGAAAGACTTGAGTCCTATTCCCTTACCAGAAATTGACTTAAAGTGAGCTGTTTATGCGAGTGCACTTAAAAAATCCCAAAAGCTGTCTAATTTTTCTGATTCTGATTTTTCTGTGTCTCTGAAACAAAATCAATAGAAGATGAGATGATTCAACAGTTCTTAAAAAACAGGCTTTTGGTAGCCAAAATGGAAATAATCAAAGTTAGATCAACCTTTGTAAACTATAATCTAAACTTCTGGGGCCTAACCTTCCTATTATGTCAAGCAGAGATGACAGCACTACAGATAAAACTCTTCATATTTATTCTAAACCTCATTCTGCACAAAAGCTACCTGAATTAAGTAATACTGCAGATGAAAAAGAAAACAATGGGAAGTCAGAACATGCCACTGGTGTGGTTTCCCAAAAAACTTTTTACCTTTACGAGACTTTTGGCAGGTACCGTATGGGATGTATTATTGAAGAGGGTGACAGGAGAGCATCAGTCCTTGGCCAAGAAAAAGACTTTGACACTTGTATTAGTCAACCACACAGACTCATGGGGCACCTGATGTGCCTAGATCGCTCGTGCTTTCCCAAATAAAGTCTGATGCGCTCTCTGACTTTCCGAAAGGGACCTCTGACTTCCCACCGCCATCAGATGGAGAGCAGACATGCTCGACAGGAAGAGAATTAGATAAACAGCTCTGCAGCACTTTGAAGATGCAGAAGACCAAGTTTCAGAGAGGAAAGGCATTACTTTGTGCAAATTGCCATGGAATTTGTTACACGTGGCAGCTCCAAAATAACTCCCTGCTGCAGTTGAAGCTTTGAGCAGATAGCAAAAATTCCTTTGTGGGCAAAGAAGCGTCATTTTGTGCATCTGTGGAGCATGGGAACATGCAGCCTGCAACACCATGGCAGTGTACTTGCAAGGAAGCAGATGATTGTCCTCCACCACAATGTGCTGGCTTCTGAAACAACAATAATTTAATTTAAAAAAGTTACAGACCCATTTGCAACTATCTATTGCAGTTAGTTTACATGGAAAACAAGTTCATTCTGGTCTTCACTGGGGGAAACATAAACATCTATTAAGAGGAAAGAAACAAAGTTTAATTTGCTCATGGATCAGTGAAGTCCAAAAATGCACTTTCTCAGCATTTACGATTCAGGAGTAAGGGCCAGCGGAGCTTAGAAGAAGACAACCCTCTCAATTTGTACCCACTCCCAGCTTTACTGACTGCTGCTTCAGCAATAAACAACACAGAAGCTGAAGACCTTGATAAATAAATAAGGTTATCTTAAGAGGTAAGTTTATTTTCTTAAAGAAACCTCCAATAAAAAGAAAACCTAGTTTCTTTATGATAGTAAAGGTTGTGGGCAATAAGATAAGTAATATTCTCTTTAGGAAAAATACATAGAAATGTGTGTATATAGAGTGAAAATATTATCTGCTAAGCATGGGCTCTTAAAGAGGGTAAATCAGTTATAACGCAGTTTCAATTCCTTCATTTCTCTCTCTTCAGGAGGAGATTCGTTTGACTGAGATTCTTTTGTTTAGATACAATAGTAGGTACAAATTTAGAAATAGAACCTTTTGTTGGAAGTTATTATTTTAGATTTCTAACTTTTTCTAACTATTGCGCATGCAAAGGAAGCAAAAGAGCAATCTAATAGTAGATACTTCTTTATTTGGAATAAAATCACAGTCCTCTAAAAACAACTTAAAAACAATTACAAACTGGTTGCTGTACCCCAGAAAATCCATGTGCTGATGTATTAGGATAAAGGTAGACAGATAATGTATTTTAACAGTGGAGTTGCTGATAGTGTGCATAGTATTGGTAAGGAATATTTTTACAAGAGTACCTTCATTTGCACATTTAGAAATAGTTCTTTAAAGTTCTTCTGCTGATGTTTTTCTCTGCATAAATCACAACCACATTTGTGGGATTACCTTTTCAGTATCTAGTTTTTCATCTGCTCAAAATTCAAAAGAATAGTAGCTTTTATTTCGTACCGTCAAGATCTACTGCTGATCAATCCTATTACGGAACCACAGAGAGAAATTATAAATAAGATAAACTTGAAAACCAGCCTTATGTTGGTGTGATTTATTCAGCATTCACAATTTGAGCAGGCAGAATTGGATAGACTTGGATTCTGCAAATCAAAAGAAAAAAGTGCCATGAGTCTTACATTGTGCTTAAGAAATATTACATTGAGAATATCCTCCAACAATACACTTAAGTTTCAGTGTAAGCTCAATTCCTCTCTGTAGAAAGGTTTTTGATGGGGCTTTCTATCATCTTTGTACAGCTGCTTCTATACCATGCATATGCATATCGTGAATCTGACCCTGAAAATCATCTTGAGAAATTCAAGCTTGCAGTAAACGTTCAGCAGCTCACTACTGAATTTATCCAAATACAAGTCTTCCTGAGTTGCTAATATTAAGTGTCTAAATCTCAGCTTACTTTATGCACAAAAGATTTCCAAGTAGCTTTGTGGGTTGCCTAGAAGTTAAGTATTTGTAGTAACTCTAGACTGTTGAAACACTTAGTGCCATCTTTGTGAAGGTTCAAGCCTTCAAAACTTTATTGTGCCCAGCTCCATATCCAAGCAGACAACCCACAGTGTGTTGTACAAACAGCATCAGATACCTACAACGCATCCTGCTCATAACTTTGGCCAGCAGTGATGGGCCACTGCAAAAGCCAGATGACTATATGTGACTTGCTAGGGTATTAGAAGGAAAAAAGTACTTTCTCATGCAGCGATCTTGCTCATGAGGAGTCCTATCGAGACAGTGCATTGCTGGAGGCAGGACAGACGGGATGCACTGTATGAGGCTCCAGCAATTCTCACGCCTGAAAAGGAAGGAGTTTTGAGAAAGGCCAGGACTAGAGAGATGTAAAGCAGCTCCTGTTCATTTTCAGGACACCCTGTGAGACGCAGGGCACAGCGGAGAATAGAGATGTGCTCTTTGTCTTTTAGGTCAGTCACCTCCTTTCAGATTAATTATTCCAACACCAAAATGAGTTTGTGCAACACTCAGAGCAGAGAAGAGACTCGGTGGTCTGTGGCTTTTGCGAAGGTCAGAGGTTTTTTTCAGTTATAATTATCTGAATAAAACTCGACACTTTACAAAATGTGCAGGGAGTATCATTCTCGCTTTTTGTAATTGGAGAAAGAGTGACATGTACCGAATGAGCAATTCATTTACCATCAGTGAATCAGTGGCAGACTCATGAAAAGAACATGTGAATCCTGGCTCAAATTATCCTCCCTCCGACTGGCAGGTAACACTGCTTCCCCCATTGACACTCCTTTCACTGAACAATGGATTTAGACTGATTTTCATGAACCCTCCTGAACGCTCCCTAGTGTGATCTTACCTTTCTTCTCAACCCCTCTGTTACAATGCAAATGCAGCAAATCCCCATTTTGTAGCATATCAAGCTGAAACTGCATCAGCTCCTTGCCATAGGAATGACTCAAAGACAAACAGAAAACCCTCATATGTGCTGCTTTTCTTGCTGGGGGAACCTTTTGATATGAATACTTGTTACCCTTAAAAACCGCTCCATTGAGGTTCAGTACATTAAAGCATCTTTGCTGGCAGCAGCTTGGGCAGTTTTTCACAGCATCATACGTCACTGATGTAAAGAAACAAAACCAAAAAACAATTCCTTCTTTTACAGGTGACATGAACCTTGAAGAGTATTTTGCAAGAACTGGCTATAAAGGTTCTCTTGAAAAACAAGATTTGGAAACCTTAACCGATATATTCCAGCATCACATCCGTGCTGTTCCCTTTGAAAACCTCAGCATCCACTGTGGGGAGAAAATTACTTTGGAGTTGGAGCATGTGTATAACAAACTTGTGCGGAGGAAGAGGGGTGGCTGGTGCATGGAAAACAACCAGCTATTGGGCTGGGTCCTGAAACATCTGGGGTATGACACCAGCTTTCTGGGAGCATATGTGTTCAATCCACACCAAAACGCGTATGCCACCCTCATGACCCATCTCCTTGTAAAAGTAGTTATTGATGGCAAAGCCTATATTGTTGATGGAGGCTTCGGTGTATCCTATCAGATGTGGCAGCCGATGGAGCTGGTTTCGGGAAAAGACCAGCCCCAGGCTCCCGGCGTCTTTCGCTTCACAGAGAAAAATGCCATCTGGTACCTCGAGAAAATGAGACGGAAACAATATATCCCAAATCAAAACTTCTCTAACTCCGATCTTCTGGAGAAAAAAGACTGTCGGAAAGTTTACATGTTCAGCCTCGAGCCACGGACAGTGGAAGATTTCCGTTTCCAGTGCACGTACCTTCAGACCTCTCCAGACTCCCTCTTTACGAAGAAGTCCATCTGCACCCTCCAGACCACTGATGGCTTTCGAGCGCTAATTGGGTGGACACTCACTGAGACCACATACAACTACAAGGAAAACATGGATCTGGTGGAATTTGTAACTCTTGAAGGTGAAGAAGTGGAAAAAACCCTCAAGGAGAAATTCAACATAAGCCTCGATAGGAAACTTGTCCCAGTTAATGTCAAAGGATTTTACACAATCTAGGTGACCAGGAAAACCTACGCTAATGTTATGTATATACAATACCTCCCACTGTCTGTGCAATCACTACTGAAAATCATGGGATTCTTTGCAGGCAATTGAAGGAAAAATACATTAATATGAGATTAAAGTGAATTTTGCTCTGGGAAAAATCAGTCAGGTAGATAAAAAAATAATCTTAAATCAGGTAGATAGAATTATCTGTTGTGAGATGACTGCATTCAATTTTAGGCACAAACGTAGGATCTCATTTGAATTTGCTTATAAACTTGAGTGAGAAATATGTCTGGGGAATTTTGGAGTGCCTATAGCACACAAATAGAACTATGGATTATTAATTGTGATATGCTGCCAACACATTTTCTACGGTTATTATAGGGAGAAAAGTAATCTGTGACCATTTAGACAATGAAGTACACATTTAGAACTTCGTTTTTCACAGGATGTAACCACTTGCAGTTCATCTCACTTCTCTACCTTTAATATAAGTAAAACAATGTCATCCTTGAAAGGAGCATTAGGAGCCATAATTCTTTCACCATCACCCTTAGACAAAACATAGTACAAAATGAAAATTACCATCATGTGCATTCCTTTTGCCATTACTGCAGTAAACTGCTCAAAGTAATTTTTGGTATGTATGTATTTTTCTGGTGATGAAAACTGAATATACTGCAGCATTATTGTGGCTGATGGGCTCTGAGGAGATGCCTATAAGCTCTGCTTCTGACAAGTAATCATCCTTTAAAAGGTGAACAAGGCTTAAATGTCACAACTGGCTTAGATTTACTTCTGCCTTGAAGGGTTGGAAAATTGGTATTTTTAGCATTGCAAATTATTTGTACAATGAAAGTAGAACAATGAAGCTAACTCCACTATACTGTTAATTCTGCCCCTCTTGTGTATAAAAAACAGGGGAGTTCATACAGGTATCCTGAATGAGTACCACTTGACACAGATGTATTCATGTCACAAGTGAGTTAATTCAGCTGTATCAAAGTGAAAAAAAAAGTCAAGACAACCAAATCTAAAGGAACTTGCTTCTTTAGAATCATTTCACAATCACGTTTCCCCATTTATAAAAACCTGTTGTTCCCCCTACCCTGCTGCTCTGCAAAAAGCCTAATCAAGGGAAACATTCTCAAATGCATCAAAAATTAGCAGAAAACCTGAAAAACACTCTTTCTCCCTAAGCTACAATAATCCTTCGTATTGGTCAAATGTTAATTTGTCCTACTGATATGTTTATGCTCAAAGACATCATGTGATCATGAGTCTCACAAATGCTGTAATTTCATACCTGAAAACAAATAAAGAGAAGTAAAAACATAAAGGAGTTGCTTTAAGTACAGAGTCCCTAACTGCTTGACTGCTGCACACACCTTTTGCCAAGTAAATGAGGTCTGTTCAATCATGCTATCGATCTACTGGCCAACACTTCCCACCACAAACTTCTTGAGCCAAACAGGCCAATACTGAACAAATCTGACAGTGGTGTTGGAGAAGGTAAGTTCCTACAGGTTCCTGGATAAAGAACTCATAGGCTGAGGAAGAAGATGATCACCAAAGAGGAGGCCCAGTGGTGGGCTTGGAAACCAGCAGCTCTGGGCTTGTCATAGTGAGTGTCAGCTCTTTCCTGTTATCGGCCGTGGTGGCAGCTAATGGCCTGAGTGCTCATGGACTTGCACAGCAACAAGGAACCAAGGGCTAAGCAAGAGGTAACAGGGGACAATGAAAGCTCTCAGGTGTGAGCATAGCTTTCGTATGGAGCTAAGGACTTCAATCTACAATTTGTGTTCATATTATTGTCGTACTCATACTAAGGTCCAGTTTTACCCCCTTCTAAATGATTGATCAAAACAAGGTGGCCCCTGAGATCCCAAGGAACATTACAAGCTTCAAAACACTTGCCACCTCTGTTCTAGCTGATGGCAATTCACCCAGGTAACCAAACCATACAAAATCATAGAACAGAATCATAGAGAATGGTCAGGGTTGGAAAGGACCTTAAGACCACCAAGTTCCAACCCCCCTGCCATGGGCAGGGACACCTCACACTAAACCATATCACCCAAGGCTCTGTCAAACCTGGCCTTGAACACCACCAGGGATGGAGCATTCACAGCTTCCCTGGGCAACCCATTTCAGTGCCTCACCACCCAAACAGGAAAGAATTTCTTCCTTATGTCCAATCTAAACTTCCCCTGTTTAACTCATTACCCCTTGTCCTGTCACTAGAGTCCCTAATGAAGAGTCCCTCCCCAGCATCCCTATAACCTCCCTTCAGACACTGGAAGGCTGCTATGAGGTCTCCATGCAGCCTTCTCTTCTCCAAGCTGAACAGCCCCAACTTCCTCAGCCTGTCTTCATACGGGAGGTGCTCCAGTCCCCTGATCATCCTCGTGGCCTCCTCTGGACTTGTTCCAACAGTTCCATGTCGGATCACCTCCTTCGACCTGCTGGTCACGCTCCTTTTGATGCAGCCCAGGATACGGTTGCTTTCTGGGCTGCGAGCGCACACTGAAGCCAGCTCATGTTCATTTTCTCACTGACCAACACCTCCTTCTCCGTAGGGCTGCTCTGAATCTCTTCTCTTCCCAACCTGTAGCTGTGCCTGGGATTGCTCCGACCCAGGTGTAGGACCTTGCACTTGGCATGGTTAAACTTCATGAGGTTGGCATCAGCCCACCTCACAAGCGTGTCAAGGTCCCTCTGGATGGCATTCCTTCCCTCCAGGGTGTCAACCGAACCACACAGCTCGGTGTCATCAGCAAACTTGCTGAGGGCGCGCTCAATCCCACTGTCCATGTCAGCGACAAAGATGTTGAAGAAGACCGGTCCCAACCCCGATCCCTGAGGGACACCACTCGTTACTGGTCTCCAGCCGGACATTGAGCCATTGACCACAACTCTTTGTGTGCGGCCATCCAGCCAGTTCTTTATCGACCGAGTGGTCCACCTATCAAATCGATGTCTCTCCAATTTAGAAACAATATTTGTCTATGCAACAAACTGCAGTTTTCTCATGCTCCTGCCTCTTTTCATGAGGACAGCCGTGAACAGGCTGGTTATTTTGCCTCCGAACTTGCCTAAAGATGTTCCTGCTGTTGCTCCTGGGTAACTGCTCAGGTTATGGTATGCAAGGGTTTCTTGGGCAGAGGTCTGTGGACTCATATCAGCATTTTTAACTGTGCCTGCAATAATGGAGCGACTCAAGCCAGATTCCCCTCTTCTGCTATTCAGCTCTTAACTAAAGATCTACAGGGCTTCAAACCTCTCCCTGTCTCCATCTGTTTACAACTACTCTCTTGCCTGGGATTTTTCCTCTTGAGATTACAATTATAAACAGGTCCTCACTGTGCAATATCAAATCTCACAAAGAAATGTCAACACATACAGCTGAGGAGTAGTTTCACAGTTTTAACTAGAGCTCCCCAAAAGCTGACAGAAGCAGGTTATCTAGGTGTGAACACCAGACCTCAAAATGCCTCAAAGGTTCATGTTGAGAAAGGTGTAAAAACAAACAAAACCAAACAAACCCTGACGGCTCATGCTGGGGTTCCAATAGCAAGGCATTACTGTTGGAGGCAGATGCCTTCCCACCCAGAAAGAAAAGTCACGACCAAGTCCTCAAAGCATCAGCTCTGAAAGAAATCTGCACTTGAATGAAAAGGGGAAACATGGGATATTTGACGTCCTTCACCACCACTATGCTTTATTAACACTGAGAAAGGTTTAACGAAAGCCTAATAGATTGTGCAGTTTTAGTTGCTGTTGTTGGAATGAATGAGAACAAACGCTTAAGAGCCCCACAACCAGGACTTGTCTAATTCCAAATACAATTTAAACTTAGAATATTTCAATTAACAGAAAGACAACTTCTTTTTAAGTCTGAATGCTGGATTAAATCCCAGCCCAGCTGCCCATTAGACACACATGCAATGCCCAATAGCAATGACAGCCACCTTCGACTGTAGAATTGCATAATAAGAATGTCTTACTAGAAAGCAGGACACAGAACAGAAGAAAGATAGTTCAAATTCCATGGCACCACTGAACATCTTCCCCCCTACCCAAAGAATCAAAGTTTAATCAGCTCATGCATTACTAAAGGGAGGATACAGGACGGCTCACTTCAGTTGGACTCTGGTCCTGGACTTCTCGAGATCTAATACTAAGCAAAATAAAAGCAACAAAACCAGAAACATGAGCAAGGAAGATGAAGTTGTATGATACTTCATGTTCCAAAATGAGTATTACAAGAAACACTGTCAGCCTGTCAAAGAGAGGGACAAAATTTTACCTGAGAAGACACACACTTAAACTCAACACTGTGTGAGCTGTCACTGAGCACAAACTACAATGCACGCTGTGCCTTGTTTGCTTTAATAGGTGCCTTGGTGTAACAGGCACAAACTCTTCTGGTGTCTGGTAACTTTTTCCACTGAATTTTGCATGTACTCATTTTAACAAAAAATGCTTACTACTTACCCAACTTGCTTTTGTTCTCAAAGAAGAAATGCTTTTAGAAACAAGACTAAGTAGGAAAATTCTACAGCACAGGATGTTGCACATGAAAATGCATCTGAGATCTTCACAGCCAAAAAAGCTTGAATTAATGTAGGTTCACGAGGAGTATTTCACTGCTAAACTTACGTCTCTGTCAAGAGTAGCTCAAGCACAGATTCTATACAGCCGAATGTTTCTACCCTGGCTAGGAAGCTACAGCCAGGCTTAAAATACATACATATACATATTTATAACATTGGAAATACAGATGGGTATTTCAGAAGATCCCATCATAAAATGAATGCTTGTAACTTTGCACACTGAAAACACATTTAAAAGTCAGGTAGAGATATTTTTAGTTTTGTCTTGCTTATAATAATGCACTATGAATGGTGCTTTTAAAGGTGCATTGAATAACTCCCTATGAATAAGATTATGCTCAGAATTAGCAGTTGTCTCACTGCAGCACTTCAACAGCTCACCTAGCCACCAGCTAAACATCAATGCTGAGCACCCAGATTTGAAGACAATAAACCAAAATCTGTAATTTCTTCACAGTCAGTGTTGGGCATGTTTAGGAAACAGAAGAACCACCATTTCCCCCCCAACCAAATTCAAAATCATAGATTTTCTAGGAAGCTATTTTAGAGCTCACTCACACTCTTAC